TATTCTCCAAGCATGTAGGAAGATCACTGTAATCATAAATCAATTCATGCCACTTTATTTAGAAAAAGGGCTTCCCAGGTGGCTCAGTGGTAAAAAATCTGCCTGTTAATCCAGAAGAGGCAGGAGACGCAGGTGCAATCCTTGAGTCAGGAAGATTCCCTGTAAGAGGAAATGGCAACTCACTCCAACATGCTTGCCTGGAGCATCCCATGGACAGAGGAGCCTGGTGGGCTGCAGTCCATAGGGTCGCAAAGAGGCAGACACGTATTTAGAAAAAGCTCCACATCTGTAGAAGCCCTGTCTTATCTGATTTCTATCTGTATTCCCCTATCACTTTCTTCTGCTATCACCCTGTACCATGCTCTACCTGCTTTAGCCACACTAGCCTAATTGCTGCTATTCCTTGAACTTACCCTGTTTCTTCCTGCCTCAGGATGTTTGTATTTGCTCTTCACTTAGCCTGAAACACCTATGAAATGCCTCCTGGGCTCAGTCAATCAGTCGTGTCTGCCACTTTTTGACTCCATGGACTGCTGCCTGCCAGGCTCCTCTGTCCATGGGATTTTCCAGGCAAGGATACTGGAGTGGGTTGCCATGCCCTCCTCCAGGGGATCTTCCCGACCGAGGGATCGAACCTGCATCTACTACATCTCCTGCATTGGCAGGTGGATTCTTTACCACTGAGCTACCTAGGAAGCCCAATACTTAGCCCTATTGTACATTCAGATCTCTCAAATGTCACCTTATGAGAGAGGGCTTCTCAGACTAACCTATGTATAATAGTTCCCCCCACCCAAATCTCCTTAACCTGCTTAATTTTTTTTCAGAGTAGTTATCATTACCCAAAATTAAACATTTAATTTATTATTGTCTCTCTCTTCCTCTCATATTAGAAGATCAGAAGCGTGAGTGCAAGAACTTTCTCGCTTGTTTACTGTAACTGTATCCTCATCTCCTAGAACTGAACCACACACATAGTTGGCACTGAATAGACATTTGTTAAAATACCTAGAATATTTGTTAATATTTTACATATATGTAAGTATACTTCCCTGTAGCTCAGACGGTAAAGACTCTGTCTGCAGTGCAGGAGATCCGGATTCAACCCCTGGGTTGGGAAGATCCCCTGGAGAATATAACAACCAACTCCAGTATTCTTGCTTGTAGAATCCCATGGACAGAGGACCCTAGCAGTCTATAGTGCATTGTATTTCGAACACAGAAGTCAAGAGTTGTTCACCAGGGAACTGGTAAGGGTAAAGCTGGCCCCAACTGTCTATGCCTAGAGAAAAATGCCTGGCTATTGAGTGAGGATGGGTCAGAATAGTCCCCTTTCTGATAAAGGTGAGGAGGGGAAAATGGAGGTGTATCTTTTACATGTCCAGAAAATGACCAAGAGACAGAATCGAGGAGAGGTTAGGGGTCACAGACCTACCCAAAGACCCTCTCTGTGGCCAGAAAGCAGAAAAAGGAACAACACTTGCTTATTGTCCGTCTCTTGGGAATATGCAGAATCTACTGAGGCTTGACACAGCCCCAACAGCTCCCCCATCCCAAGGTACCTAGAACTGTTTCTTCCTTCAGAAAGGTCCATAAAGTCAAAAGCCGCCCAGGACAACATCACCCAGCTGTCTAAACCTGAAATGGAGTTAGAGACAGAAACAGACCCGAGATAACCTTCTTCAGTTCTTTTCACTCTTTGTCTGATGAAAAATTAATACCATGAAGAGATACCAGAAGGAGGAAGTTGCAGTGCTGATTGGACAAAAGCTGGAATCTGGGTTTGGTGTTTGCCCATCCAATGCTGATCTTCCCAGAACCACCCAGCTGACTGCTTCTGCCTGCAGATTGCCTTCAACTGGTTAGTGATTTCCTCTGCCCTCTTATAGTACCCTCATTGCACCTGTCATTTTACATTTTTTTCACCCTAGTAGATGAGAAGAGCATAGAATAGTGCCTGGCACATGGTAGATAGTTATTTCAATTATTTATTTCTGTATAACACACCACCTCAAAGGTTAGTATCTTAAAACTAACCATTTCTTTCTCACAGTTTTGTGGGTAAACTAGTAGTTCTATTTCACGCGGTGTCAGCTGAAGCAGTGGCACAGTTGGAAGTTCCAAAATGGTGTCATTCACAATGGCTGGCAGCTGGCACTGGTGGGAGGTTGGGTCAGAATGGGTCATGGGTCAGGAGTCCCGGTTCTTCACGTGGGCCTCTCCACAAGGGCCTCTCACGTGGCTACTTGGGTTTTCTCGCAAACTGGACTGTGTGTTCCTGGAATGAGCATTTTAAGAACAAGGGGAGAAGATGCACATCCCAGAGGGCCTGGCCTTAAGCGTCAGGTGGGCACCCTCTTTCTTCATTCCCATGTATTTATTTTTGGCTAGCTGGGTCTTGGTTGCTTCATGCATGCTTTTTCTTGTTGCAGTGAGCAGGGGCTAGTCTTTATGGAGCTGCACAGGCTTCTCACTATGGCGGCTTGTCTTGTGAAGCACAGGCTCTAGGCATTGCAGGCTTCAGTAGTTGCAGCTCTAGGACACGCGGGTTTCCTTAGTTGTGACACACAGGTTCAGTAGTTGTGGCTCTCGGGCCCAAGAGCACAGGCTCGGTAGTTGTGGCTCACTGGGCTTTGTTGCTCCGCAGCATGTGGGATCTTCTCCGGCCAGGGATCAAACCTGTGTCCCCTGCCCTGACAGGAGGATTCTTATCCACTGTGCCACCAGCGAAGTCTGTGTGAGCATTTTAGATAAATTACAGCACAATTCAGAGTCAAGGGAAGTAAAAATAGACTCTACCACTTGATGAGAGGAGGGGTAAAGAATTGGCAGCTATCCTTTTTAACCAACTGCAGTTTGCCCAGAGACCACAAATTATTTCAATTCCTCCCCCATATAAAATACATTAACCTCCCCCACCCCCAACTTCTCCAAAAGTTCATCCCATTATAACTTCAGGTTCAAGTCCAAAATTGTATCATCTATATTAAGTATGATTCCTCAGGTTCAGGAACATATGAACTATAAAACAAATTGTCTTCTTTCTCTTCCTGTTGCTGAATAGTGGAGTCCAAAGACCATTAGGCAGGGATGAACAAGGTAGGAGTCCAAATGTCATAGGTGTGGATAGGGTGTCAGAGCCCAGGTGAACAAGGAGGAGTGGCAGCCCGGCACGGGACGTCAGAGCCTCAGCAGAGGAAAGAGGGCACCGTGGAGTACGGGGGGGTTTCTGTAACCCAGGTCGGCCCTCTGCAGGGAGCTGGGGTCCCATGGGGGCGAGGAGATCATCAGATGCAGGGAGACTGATTAAAAGTAACTGTATATAGGTAATGAGAGTCACCCAAGTTTCTGACTGCCAGAGAAGGGAGGTACAAGTATAGACAAGCAGAAAACCCAAAGGAACTCTGATGCTTTACTGGAATTGGGGGAATTGCTGTGAATTCATAGTTTCAATACATAGACAATAAAATAAATATAGCTGTGTGTTTATATGTAAATATGAGTGAACACCTGGGAGAAGTCTTGAGGGCAGAAGCTTCCCAAAAGTGTTAGTCACTCAGTCGTGTCCAACTCTTTGTGACCCCATGAACTGTAGCCTGCCAGACTCCTCTGTCCGTGGGATTTCCCAGGCAAGAATACTGGGGTTGGTTGCCATTTCCTTCTCCAGGGGATCTTCCTGACCCAGGGATCGAACCTGAGTCTCCCAACATTGCAGGCAGATTCTTTACTGTCTGAGCCACGAGGAAAGCAACCTAGCACCCAAATCTTAGTTTCTAAATACCGTTTTCCAACAAAAGGAACTAGGTATGCTAGGAGGAAAGGCTGATTTCAGGGATATTACAAGATGAGCCTGGAAAATCTTATTCCAGAAGGTAAAAAGGAACCCAAGCTCCTGATTTAAAACCCCCACCTCCCTGCACTGTTTCCCTTTGGTTAACCATAAGTTTGTTTTCAGTATCTGGAACTCTGTTTCTGTTTTGTGAATAAGTTCATTTATATCATTTTTAATTAGATTTCATATATGAGTGATATATTTGTATTTTTCTGTCTGACTTAGTTCACTTAATATGATAATCTCTAGGTCCATCCATGTTGTTGCAAATCGCATTATTTTGTTCTTTTTTATTGCTGAGTAGTATTGCAATGTATATATGAACCACATCTTCTTTATCCATTTCTCTGTTGGTGGACATTTAGATTGCTTCCAGGTCTTGGCTATTGTAAATAGTGCTGCAGTGAACATTGGGGTTCATGAATCTTTTCAGCTTATGTTTTTCTCCGAGTATATGCCCAGGAGTGGGATTGTTGGATCATATGGCGGTTCTACTTTTAGTTTTTTAAGGAACCTCCATACTGTTCTCCATAGTGGTTGTACAAGTTTACATCCCCACCAGCAGTATAGGAGGATTCCCTTTTCTCCATATCTTCTCCACCATTTCCTGTTTGTAGACTTTTTAATAATAGCCATTCTGACTGGTATGGGCTGATACCTTATTGTAGTTTTGATCTGCATTTCTCTGACAATTAGTGATATTGAGCATCTTTTCATGTGCTTTTTGGCCATATGTATGTCTTTGGAGAAAAGTCTATTTAGATCTTCTGCTCATTTTTTGATTGGGTTGTTTGTTTTTCTGACATAGAGTTACATGAGCTGCTTACATATTTTTTGAGATTAATCCCTTGTGAGTTGCTTCACTTGCAAATATTTTCTCCCATTCTTTGAGTTGTCTGTTCATCTTGTTTATAGTTTCCTTTGCTGTGCAGAAGCTTTTAAGCTTAATTAGGATAGAGAAACTTTAATGATGTATTTACATAACTTCAGAGTATCTCTCCTATAAAACACTTGTAATTTTGATGGGAAAATCAGAGAAATCCAAATTATGAAACATTCTACAAAATAACCATGCTGAAATCCTAAAAAAATTGTAGAGGTCATGATCGTCAAGGAAAGATGCAGAACTGTTCCCCACTGAAGGAAACTAAAGAGAAATGGAAACCAAATGCATTACCATGATTCTGAAGTGGCTCCTTCTGCCATAAAGAATATTTTGGGGACAACCAGTAAAACTTGACTGAGGACTAAAGGTAAGATAATAGTAATACATAATATTAATTTCTTGATTTGATTTTGATTATTATAGTTATGTCTTTACTGCTTCATCTAGTCCCAACCTAATCTAAAATAAAATGCAGTTTGGGGTGGGGTTTTGGAGAGAGGCGGGGGTTCCAGACACCTGACCTTAACAATGGAGAAGGAAATGGCAACCCACTCCAGCATTCTTGCCTAGAGAATCCCATGGACAGAGGAGCCTAATGGGCTGCTGTCCATAGGGTCGCACAGAGTCGGACACGACTGAAGCGACTTAGCATGCGTTCATGTATTGGAGAAGGAAATGGCAACCCACTCCCACATTCTCTTGGAGAATCCCAGGGACAGAGGAGCCTGGTAGGCTGCCGTCTGTGGGGTCGCACAGAGTCGGACACGACTGAAGCGACTTAGCAGCAGCAGCAGCAGTTATGTTGGAGATAATGAAGGACAGGGAAGCCTGGTGTGCTGTAGTCCATGGGGTCGCAAAGAGCAACTGAACAACAACAACTTATGTTGGAAATATGCACATAAGATTTCAGGGTAATGTGGCATTGTGTCAGAAATTTACTCTCAAATTGTTCAAAACAGCATTTGTACTAAACTTGCAAATTTTCTGTAAGTTATCTTTTTCCCTCATATCCAACATATAACGGGAAGACAGGGACAGGAAAATCATAATAGAAACTCCCACTTAAAAGGGGGTAATAAACATAGCAGTCCTTAATTCTTTAGAAAATCTAGGATTCCATGGTGCAAATGTCACAATTTCCCCCTGCTCCAGAGTCCGGGAATGTGATGCCCTGTGGTTCTTCACCCTCTGGTTGGCTCCATCCTCTGGGTCATTTCTGCTTTCCCTCGGTTTGCAGCAGTCATTTGTTCAGGCTGCTTCAGTGGGTGCCCTCTGCCCTCATTTCGTTTTGAACTGTCTTTGTCTATTTTAGTCCAAGCTAGTGGTACGTATGCTGGTACAGTTCTGTTAGGTGAGGAGAAAATAAACAAAAATTTTGTGTATTTCCCACGAACTGTATTGAGTTTCACTCCATTCGACAAAAACTACATCCCCATCTCAACACAAGTTCCTCCCTCCTCTTGTGAGTCAGGATACCGTCTGACAAATCCTTAAGATTCTTGGAAGCACTGTCATCTAGGTGAGAAGTCCATAAAGCAGTGCTTGAAATCTTTATGAGATTTTACTGTCAAGAGTTATACAGTCATGTCCTTGACCTTGAAACCAAACACTACTGGGAGTGTCCTAGAATTAATCCTGCCTCTAGGTTTTAGTTTACTTTGAGTAAACTGTTTTTGCAGTTTGGGATTGAGATTTCTTAGAAAAACTAGGTGTAAAGTAATTAGCCTCCAACTAATAAAAATAAATGGAAAAAATAAAAAATTAAAAAAAAAGAAAAACTAGGTGGTTTTCTGCTTCATACTGTGCTGGCTGGCGTAGGGCCTCATTCACATGGCTAAAAGTTGGTGCTGGTTGCTGTCTGGGAGTTTAGTTGAAACTGTTAGCCAAAAGTTTCAGTTTTCCACATGACTGCTTGAGCTTCCTTACAGCATGGCAACTAGACCCTAAGAAGGAATTTCCCAAATACGTAGGAGGGAGTGGAAGATCTCTTAAGGCCAAGTATTGGAAGTTATTCAGTGACACGTGCACTACATTCTGTTGGTCAGAACAAGTCACAGAGCCAGCCCAGATTCAAGAGGAGGGGAAGTAGACTTCACCTCCTGATGAGAGATGTGGTAAAGAATTTGTGTCATTATAACATAAATAAACTGTTTCTCAGGATGGTACTCCCATCCACACTTGTTTTGAGTGCCCAGCTGGGTCTCTCCCCATGACCTGAGGTGAGGTTGGCTTCCTCCTCTCATTCTTTCCCCCAAACCCACAGAGTGCCCCTGGTGCTGGGTCTGTGCCCCATGAAGTGACCTTGGCCATCCATTCCCAGCAGTATCTATACCCAGAAAAGAACGTGCCCACAGTCTGTTGGGATGAGTTCTTTCCTCAAGTGCTACTTTGTCATACTCTGGAAAGGCCAGCAGAAGCCTGGGAACTGCTCTCAATGCTGTACCTGAAGGGCTGTTGGAATATCCTTTCTGTCTTAATGCCATAATAATGCTACATGGCAAATAACCAACAAATCTAAGTGCTATAGGTGGCTCAGCTGGTAAAGAATCCACCTGCAATGTGGGAGACCTGGGTTTGATCCCTGGGTTGGGAAGATCCCCTGGAGAAGGGAACGGCTACCCACTCCAGTATTCTGGCCTGGAGCATTCCCTGGACTGTATAATCCATGGGGTTGCAAAGAGTCGGACTCGACTGAACAGCTTTCACTTTCACTTTTCACAACAGTAAAGCATGTACTTCTCTCTCACGTATCCATGGGTTGGTTAGGGCAGCTCTGCTTAAGGCTGGAGATCTGTTGGTTGGCTAGGTGAGTCTACTCCATGAGTCTCTATTCTGTGTTACCTACCAAGGGCATGTTTTTTCACATGGTAATGGCAAAAGCACAAGATGAGTGAGTGAAAAAAAATCCAATGCCCCTTTGAAACTATGCTTGGAATGGTCATTTCTACTCACACTGTGAGCCAAAGCAAATCACTTGGCCAACCAAACATTAGCAGGACAGGAAAATGTATTCTATCTCTAGAGAAATACAGGGAGTGGTGAAGGACTGAAAATGACGCAATCCTCCATTCCCTTTTTTTTTTTTTTTTTTAATAACAACTCACAATTTACATTTCCCCTGATCTTCCTACCTCCAGCTTCCTGCCCTTCCCATCGTGGCCAATGGACTTGGTCAGATTTCAGAACTGAAGAGAAACTGGAAGGACACCAGCTCTTCTTTCATCCACACACAATAGGCTTTTCTCACACAATACACTTTTGAGAGTTCAGCCAGTTTTGTGTGCACACCTCCAGTGTCAGGGAGCCCATTATATTATGAGCCAGCCTGTTCCACTGTGGATATCACAGACCCAACAACTAAACCCTTCTCATGTTAAGCTGAAACTCACTAGTAGCAGTGGTGCCAGCTATGTTCCATGGAGCCACAGAGAAAAAACTGAATCTTCTTTCACTTAATAGAAAGTGAAAAAAGATTTAAAAGTTCAGACATATGCCTTCTCCCAACATAAAGTCAGTTCCTCTCTAGGCTGACTCATATCTGTCATTTCTACTGTTCTTCATGCTTCATGGTTGAGTTCCTTCCCCATCCTGATCATTCTTCTTTAACCAGACTCTAGCCTGTCACTTTCCTCCATAAAAAAGCAGCGCCTGGGTCTGAATTCAACATTCTAGCTGGGGTCTCAGGAACAAAAGTGAGCAGGACTATCACTCACCCCATAGTTCCATATACCACACTTTTACCAGTGCTTTCTAATACAACTTTCACTTTTTGATGTCCATGTTAGAGACAGAGCTGGAGACAGAACCCTGGAACAGTGGAAACACCCCCTACAAGTTGACTTGGAACTTTTTAAATACAGTCTTTGTACCAATCAGTGTTTTTGACTGTGTAGATAGTCAATGACATCACTGCTCTGCCGTAGCCATTACTGCTGGTAAACACTGAGCATCCCACTTCAGGATGGGTCAAGCGGCTGCTGCTGTTGTCATGACTACTTCCTACACTACATCCACCTCTTAAATTCACCTCCTGAAAATTAAAAGTCCCTGGTGGGAATGGCTGAGCCTAATTCACATGACTGACCCCTGGCTGCAAGGAAGTAGAAAGGAAAGTCTTTCCCTTTCTGCTTCTATGGGAGCCAGGGCAGCTTCCCTGGTGGCTGAGACAGTAAAGAATCTGCTTGCGATGTGGGAGACCCGGGTCTGATCCCTGGTTTGGGGAGATGCCCTGGAGGAGGGCATGGCAACCCGCTCCAGTATTGTTGCCTGGAGAATCCCCATGAACAGAGTAGCCTGGTGAACTACAGTCCCTGGGGTCGCAAAGAGTCAGACATGACTGAGCGACTAAGCACGATACTGTAATGGTGTTGTTAGAAAATTCCTCCAAAATAAGATAGGGGTTTGCATGCTGAATGAACAAATGTAATGACATAGGTTCACTCCAGTGATTTAGCAGATTACTTTTCCTCTTAATTGTACTATCACCTCGGCTTCTCTGGTGGCTCAGTGGTAAAGAATCTGCCTGGCAATGCAGTAGACACAAGTTTAATCCCTGGTCCAGGAAGATCCCACATGTGTGGAGCAACTAAGCCCGTGCACCACAGCCACTGACCCTGCTGCCGTAAAGCCTGGGAGCCGCAACTGCTGACCCCACGTGCTGACCCTGCTGCCCTAAAGCCTGGAAGCCACAACTACTGCGCCCACGCTCCACAACTCAACTACTGAAGCCCTTGTGCCCCAGAGCCGGTTCTCTGCAACAAGGGAAACCACCAAAATGAGAACCCAAGCTCCACGACTGGAGAGGAGCCCCCACTCACCACAATTACAGAAAAAACCCATGCAGCAACAAAGGCCCAGAATAGTCAAATAAATAAAATTATTTTAAAAAAATCTATTCTTAGATGAGAGCATAATTTGCAGAATGAACTTTTCCTTCCTGTAATGGACAGGTGTTAATTTTGTCTCCCCTGTATTCATTCCTCATGCTGATAAAAGATGTCCACCCTTCCCCACTTGACTGGGCTAATCAACCTCACTGCAGTCCCCTCAGTGAATGTGGAGTTCATATCAGCCCAAACAGAGTGCTGCTTCCCTCCAGTCGCAGTGATTCGTTCAGGAAGCAAAGGTCCCCTCCTCTCCAGAATTTTGGTAAATGTTGAGAAAAAGCCTCTTCCTTTCCTCTAGGGTAGCCAACCCCTACCCGGAGTTGTCAAGGGTATTGTATCAGTTTTCTAGGACTCCTGTGACAAATTGCCACACGCTTGGCAACTGAAAACAATAGAAATTTCCTCTCTCATAGTTCTGAAAGCTAGCAGTCCAAACACAGGATGTTTCCCTAGCATTCTCAGAAGCTCTAGGGACTATGCGTCCTTGCCTCATTTGCCTTCAGTGGCTTCCAGCAACCTTGACCTTCCTTGGCTTCTAGTTGAGTCCCTCCACTCTGCCTCTGTTACCACATGGCCTTCTCCGTGTGTATCTCTCTCTTCTGCAGATGTATTCTCTTCTGATTAGGGCACCAATCACTAGAAAAAGGGGCCCAACCTTAATCCAGTATGACCTCATCTTGCCTTAACCAATTGAATATGTAAAGACCCTATTTCTAAAAAAGATCTTTTCTGAGTGTTTCCCAGGTGGCTCAGTGATAAAGAATTCGCCTGCCAATGCAGGAGACACAAGTTCGATCCCTGATCTGGGAAGGTTCCACATGCCTTAGAGCAACTAAACCTGTGTGCCACAGTTACTGAAGTCCACATACCTAAAGCTCATTCTCCATAGGAGAATCCATCACCGTGAGAAGTCTGCACATTGCAACTAGAGTGTAACCCTGACTCAGCACAACTAGAGAAGAGCCCACACAGCCACTCTGTTAAAGACCCAGCACAGCCAAGAATAAATGAATGAAGAAAATTATTTATTAAATATCTTTTCTGAGGTTTTGGGTAGACATGAATTTTGGGGGTATACTATTCAACCCCCTAAAACTACCACATGGAAAGAGCCTGCCTGAGAAGCCGAAAAGGAGGTAGGAGTGTGCCCGCCATGGCCATATCAGACTGCCCCGGACTCATCAGTAATGGGAACTGGCAAATCCCCCCTCCCTTTCCCCCCTTAGATCTGTTTGAAGTAACAGAAACCGACCACCACCCCTCCTTTTTCAAAACTGGAAAATCATTTGCACATGACCAATGTTCCAAACTTCTTCCTATTGCACTCGTCCTCCAAAAACCTCTGACAGGGATTGCGCAATCTCACTTGGAAGTTTTCTCAGTGTCTTGGATTGACTTCATTTGGGCAGGAAACAAATTTATTTTGAGCAGCTGGATGAACTCGCAATGTCTTCTATTTTACAGACCACAAAGAGAAGTGGGCCCAGAAGTGAAAAGCGAGCACTGCCTACATTCCTGAGGCTTCTTGCCCCATTCTTGTCCCTCCCGAGACCCAGCAGCATTTCTACCCATGGATTCTGTGCATTTCTCCTTCTCTTGGAATCTTGCAGGTATTGCACGAGTGAAGTTCAGACTTTACAATCAAAGAGACTGACAAATAGGTCAGGTACCAAGCAGGGACGAAACTAGAGAGGGAGAAGGGTAAGGGATGCTTAGCCTAGGCACACAGGTCAATGTGGGTCACTGGGCAGGTGGGTAGAGGAGAGGCCATTCCCGGCAGGAATGAAGTTTCAGGAACCAGAATAGAAACTTGCTCCTGGCAGGCCGGGTGGGTGGGGCCTTGCCTGGGCTTCCTTGGGAGCGACCTGGGCTGCCTGCCAGCCCTCCCCTGGGAATTTCCCAGTCTTCCTAATTGTGTAAGACTGGCCTTGCCAGAGGACACCTGTTCCCACTAAGCTCTGACAGCTGAGGTGTCCCTGCTTTATTGCTGCCTGTCATTACAGTCCGAACTTCCTAACTTTGGGCTTACCTGATGGCTCAGATGGTTAAAGAAGCTGCCTGCAATTCAAGAGACCTAGGTTTGATCCCTGGGTTGGGAAGATCCCCTGGAGGAGGGCATGGCAACCCACTCCAGAATTCTTACCTGAGAATCCACATGGACAGAGGAGCCTGGTGGGTTATAGTCCGTGGGGTCTCAGAGTCGGACACGACTGAGCGACTAAGCACACAATACCTCCTAAGTGTTTGGGAAGAGCTGCTACCAGCTGGTTGTTATTCTGCTCCTCTTCCCAGTCAGCACACCACTCTGTAATTCCCTAGCCTGGGAATGTGAGGGGAAGGTAGCCTGCAGGTTGGACCTCAAGTTGTTGACAGCAATCCAAGACCAGCCCTTATGTTACAGGCAGGATGGTCAACTTACCCCTACTTGCCCATGAACATGAAAATCTGTTGCTAAGTCATGTCTGACTCTTTGTGGCCCCATGGATTATAGCCCGCCGGGCTCCTCTGTCTATGGGATTCTCCCGGCAAGAATACTAGAGTGGGTTGCCATTTTCTCCTCCAGGGGATCTTCCCGACCCAGGAATTGAACCCAGGTCTCCTGCTTTGGTGGGTGGATTCTTTAGCACTGAACCGCCATTCCTGTTTTAAAAGTGAAAATCAACATCCCAAGATCCCTCTCAGTTCTTGGAAAACTAAGAGGGTTAATCAACCTAATTATAGACTCCCCAGGTTCTCGGAAACCTGCATTAACACTGGGCCTTAGATGCACCATCCCAGGTCTGGGGACTCCAGCCTCCAAACCCTACTCTACTAAGTACGCCCACACAACTGGCGTTTCTGAAGCTGATTTCTGAAACTCACCTGGGCCTGTAGGCAGTATGGCGAGTAAGATTCTAAAGCCTCTCATTCACGAACTGGATCAGCTTAGACAAGCTAGCTAACCTCTCAGTGCCTCACCAGGAAAATGAAATCAATAATAGTATATCTACTGTGCCATGGTGTTGGGAGAAAAGTAAGAACAGTGCCCGACTATATAAATGCTGGCAATTATTCCCGCGCCCTCACTCTGATCTAGTTGGTGCCTCCTCCCTCCAGGGGGATCATGCCCACCTCTCCCTGGGCACACACCAGAGTCCCAGTGGCGTGGCACAGGCCGTGGGAGGACCTAGGCTGTCTCTAGAGACTTCACCAGGACCTCTCCTCCCTGAGTTCCAAGACAGGGCGTCAGAGGACAGCCTGCTTTCTTTCATTTCTGGGCAGAATCCCTAAAGAGGAACACAGAAAGGGGTGAGCAAAGGACCTCAAAGGCTTGGCCAGCCCGCTGGTACTGACGGAGGTTCCCTGTGTCTCCAATCCACTGCCATCGTGGTCGGCCAAGTCCATCAACCTGTTTCTCAGCAACTGTGCTCTCACACCTGTCAGCCAGAAGTAAGAAATTCCAGTCCAGGAGTGTCGTCTCCTGACAACTTTGCCTACAATCACAGCACGCCTTGGGGGCTTACTATATGTGCATGGTTGAGAAGTGACAGAGTCCCTGCAGACGGCTAATCCCCACGACCCTGACAGCTGGAGATGGGGGCCAACTGCCCACAGAGGCACCCTGGTCTGCGTTCATTTCCGCCACTCTGTTCTGGGAAGTGTACACACCAATGCTGGCTTTATGTGTCACAGTGAAAGCAAACCCCAATGCCCTGGTGCTGGGTTTCAGGTCCTCTTAGGAGAAAACCCTGGGAGTGCGTGCACCTCCCCTCAGGCCAGCCACACCAGGCCAGCTCTCAAAGGCCTCTGGTGTCTCCCTTTTCTCTCATCTTTCCCCACTCTGATAAATGTCTTGGGATTAGCCCTTCTGTGTTTATTGGATGAGCAATTTGTGTCTGTCTGAAAAGCTGCGTCTGAATAATATTTGGCACGAGCTGAAGAAATGTGATCTGCCACGTTCCCCTCCAGGCAGCTCTCAAGCCAGCACATCTCCTGCCAACAGGATTGCATGGCTCTGCAGCTGGGTCTCCAGCTGAAACGTGTGTGGAGTGGGAAGCAGGGAGGGGAGTGGGTCAAAGGGTGAGGGAGGTGCCTGGGGTGGCACCAGAGGGATAGGGCAGCCCGAGTGAATCTGCTAGTCATCCTGGAGCCCCAAGAATAATTTGGGGACAGGCCCCCATGTGGCTCAGGAGCCCAGATGGTTACCTGGGCCCAGAATCCCAGGTGTGAACAGCTGCTAAGGAGATTCAAGAGAGTCCAGGAGAGGCTGGAAGCTCTCAGGCCTGGAGTGGTCATTAGGGCTGGGCTCCTGAGGTCTGAGTGTTTGTGTGGGACAGGGAGAGGTAGGAGGCTCTGAGGCTGTTTAAATGTTTCCTCACTCCATCTTTACAGGCCTCCTGGGAACTGGGGGGCACAGAGCTTGCAGTGACAATCAGGCAACCCAGCCGTGATGTGCTGCAGAGTGTGGAGGAAGAGGAAATTTGGTGGGTATGAGTGTGTCAAGAACTTCCACCCTTACTCCACCCCACCCCAGAAGCCGCTATTATCCCTCCTTAGCACCCTCTCTGCTCCTATCTTAGGGCCCATATCACTTCTTGAATCCTGTGACTCAGATCTCCATCCTTCCACCACCTCTGCCCCACTCTTTCCCAGCCCGTGATAAGACTGAAGGCAGGACATCGTCCCTGGGCCCCTAACAGTGAGCACGGGAGGAGAAGGATGCCGAGGAGGCATCAACCCTGGTTTACTGAGTCAAGGGATGAATTAGAGAAGCTGGGAGCTCAGACCTCAGTGGTCACAGATGCCCAGGAAGATAGCAGGTCAGGCAGAAGCAGCAGTGCCGGACATTGGTTCAGCAGTCAGAAAGGAACTGTAACAATCCTCAGGTCTGCCCGGGCTATGGGGAAGGTCGGCCCCTTGGGACAGGCCCCTTGCGGCTCTTTGTATATCTATCTTAGCATTTCACACGGTTCCATCATGTGGAACCAACCGGGTTTCCATCCATTTGGTTAATGTGTTTTGAATTTCTCCCTTGTACCATACTCCATAGGGTACCATCTGTCCTCTCAAATAGAAAAAAAAAAAAAAAGCAGAGGTACCATAAAAAGGTAGGAGCAATCTATGCCCTCACTGAGGCACAGAGAGAAGGCTATAACAATTCAGAAGAGAAAGAGGTTAATTTCACTTGAAGGAGCAAGGGAGTCTTCATGGGGATGGGGCAATCCATAAGACCTCAACCTGGACCATAATGCGCCTGCACCCTAAGAGTGCTGTTCTTCACCACCCACTCCCTCCAACCCTCCACCTCTCCCCAATCCCCAGCCCCAGCACACACCCAATTTGGTGCCCATGGCTGATTTTGCTGACTGATTCCTTACTCTTTCTTTAAAAAAAAAATTATTTATTTGACTGTGCCAGGTCTTAGCTGTGGCATGTGGGATCTAGTTCCCTGACCAGGGATCGAACCCAGACCCCCTGCATTGGGAGTTTGGAGTCTTAGCCACTGAACCACCAGGGAAGTCCCTGATCCCTTCCTCTTTCACTGAAAACAGGTATGTCCACAGAATCCATCTCAACACGGCAACACAGCCAGATGATCGGAGCAGGCACGTGGCACACATTTGCCATCCCTCACCTTGGAAGGTGTGTACAACTGGGACTTGCAAGGATGGGAGACAGAGGGAGCAGGCTGAGCAGAGACACCGAGGTGGGCGACACAGACACATGTGATGGAAGTGAGTGACCTGCCATGGGTGGTTTTCCTGAATGAGGACCAGGGAACAGCATGGCTGAGAAAGTAGTTGAGGTAATAGCTGGATTAACATCTTGCCAGGCTAAGGCTTGTGGGCCCAGGCCTGGGAAGGGGGCAGAGGCAGTCTGAACTGAGCTGTTGGGGGAGCTGATGGGCTGCCATTCTGATGGCAGTGGCAGGGTGGGCTGGGGTGGGGAGAAGCTGGAGGCAGATAGAACAGAGTCTCAGCAGTCAATCCTTGGCAGCCAGCGACAGAGCCCCCTCTGAGCGCCTACGGCACTTGGCAGAAACATCTGCTCCACACTCGCCCCGCCGTCTCTCTTGGAGCTGTCTTCTGACAGCCTGATGGCCCCCGTGGCCTGCAGCTCCTTGACAGCAGGAACTGTCTGCTGCCTTTCTGGGGCCCCAGGCCTGACATGGTTCTTGGCAGGTGCTCATTAGATATTTGCGAAGTTACTGAATAGGGCAGTGAAAAAAAAGAACAAGGGGCGTACAGAGAAGGGCACAGATTTCCGGGATAACATCCTGTTTAGCAAGTGCAGTTCTGTAGGCCAGGCATGAGCACAGCATTCTCTGGTGTGTGTGGAGAAGCTAAGGTCTGTGTGGGCAGTGCAGGCGGGGAAAGAACATCAGTTCATGTCTAGAGGCTGGGAGTTGCCGTGAGTGCATGTGCGCAAATGTGTGTGTGTCTTAGGGAGGGCTTTTCAGAGAGGTGGACAGACAGGAGACCCCATGATCTATACTGTCCTAAGGTGCCTTAGGAAATTTACTCAGACTCTTTTGATTGCAAGTGACAGAAATTCAATGAGGGCAATCTTAGAGAAAATGGGTATTTATTGGCCCATAAGGTGCCTTTGGAGACAGCCAAAACCAAGGGTTCCAGTAATGTCCGTCTCTTTTCATTTCTAATGTCAACTTTTCTCCACTGGTCAGTTAGCCTGACTCTCAAAGCCAGGCTCCCTTCACAGGCTGGAAACATGGCTGCCAGGAGCCTGGGTCTCACACCGTGGGAGCTTCCCTATCAGAAAGGCCTCAAAGGCTTCTTTTCTCGTGTCCCGGTCTCAGTTCCCAGGAAAGGACTGTGATTGGCTCTGTTCTTGTGAGGAGCCTGCCCCTGGCCTAAGACTAAATGCAATGGCTAAGAGAGCAGGGTCTTGGAAAAAGGACATGCTTCCACCAAAACCACCGTACTTGAAGTGGAAACTGTGTGTTTCCCAGAGGAAGAGCCAACAGCAATCCTGTCTGGGTGTTTTGCATAAATTAACTATTCTGCACAACAACCCCAACAGCTGTTACTATATTTACTATTATAGTCATTGTTACCCTGGAGAATTGTGACCTCAGGAAACCGAGGTACAGAGAGGTTGAGTAACTGCCAGAGAACACACAGCTAGTAAACAGCAGAGATGGAGCTGAGATTTAAATCGATTCAATCTAGCTTCAGACCCAATATCTTCCTATTCTGTTATTTTGCCTGTTCACTTCAGAGGGAAGAAAGCATGGTATAGGGCTATGAGAAAGAAACCTGGACAGTTTCTCCTGCAGAGATCCAAGGCCTGAGCTGAGGAGCCTGTGGAAAGATTGGTCCAATGTCATGGAAATCTGGAATAAGAAACACCACCACCCATTTTACTCTCACTGAAGATATCTGAAAAGGAATGTTTCATTTTAACTTCTTTTTTTCTTCCATCTTTATTTACTTAAAATAGAATTAGATGAAGCCAAGAAAAGCATGAAAGAACAATGAGGTCCCATTTTCACCTATTAAATATTTAAGCAGAAGTGTAAAAGGCACGCTGACAATGGTGGGGAGATGGCTTGCTTCTAAATGCTGGTAACAGGACAAAGCAGTCCAACCAGTGAAAAAATTATTTGGCCATGAGGGTCAAGAGCTTTAAAAGCTTTCTTTAACTTTAACCTGATCACCTCACTCTTTAGAAACAGCTCATGAAATCACAAAATAAAACCTAGCTAGTGCCATGTGTAAGAGACACATCTAAAATAGTGCTCCTCAAACAGATTGAAAGTGGCAGAGAAGGAAAAAATAGAAAACAGAACAAATATCACACATGCAAATACAGGTAACAACAACAACAGAAAAAGGGTTATGATATTAATATCAGACACAGCTGAATTCACAGAAAATCAGAAGACAAGCCACAGGAGAAAATGTTGTAATGATAAAGGCTGAGAGCCACAGTGAAGATCTGTCATAAATATTTATGCACCAAAAATAAAGTATCAGAATTTATAATGCAAAAAACGAGGAAGTACGTGGAGACATGGACAGAAATATAGTAATAGTAGAAAATTCTCACTTACCTCTCTTAGTCCATGATCAATAAATCACACAATAAGGAAGGATATGGAGGACTTGACTTGTTAACTTAGTAAGGCAGATCAAATTAAAAGATATCAAACTCTGTACCTTGAAAACCTAGAATATATTCTTGTTAGTGCCTGTTGATTAACAAATGACCCCATGACAGGCTGAGAAAAACAAAAGAACAAAATCTCAGTACATTTCAAAGTAGGATGAATACAGATAACATTCTCTAATCACAATGTAGTAAAACTAGAAAGTAATAGCAAAATCTGAGACTGAAAAGCAATAGAAAAGTTGAAAATTAAATAAAAAGAAACAAACTAAAAGCTATATCTGAGTGAAATATTATTCAGTCTTTAAAATGAAGGAAACTCTGACATATGTTATGACATGACGTGAGGGGTCCTCGAAGACACTATGTTAAGTGAATTAAGCCAGTCACAGAAACACAAATACGGTATGACTTCACTTACATGAGGTATCCAGAGCAGTCAAATTAATAGAGACACGTGTAATGGTTGTTTCCAGGGGCTGAGAGGAGTAGGGAATGGGCAATTGTTTAATGGGTATAGAGTTTCAGTTTTGCAAAATGCAAAAGTTCATCTTATATATTGACAACGTTGTGAACATACTAAACACTACTGAACTGTGCATTTGGAAAGGGGTACGATGATAAATTTTGTAATATATGTATATTTTAAGAAATTTTCTCTTTGTTAATTCTCAAAGTGTAAAATATCTTTTAGAGGAAATTTTTAAAAAAAGGATAGTTCCCAAGGAAATAGTGCGAAAGACAAGTCAAAGGAATGAGCATTTTTGTGGTTCTCAGCTAAGTTTCACATAATCTTCAGGGGAGGATTTAGAGGGATAAAAAGGAACAAGCTCTGAAACCGATGCGTTGACATGGCTCAAAAAAATGTTGGTTTTCTGCCTGCACTTATTCAACCACCTTATGCGCCAGGCCCTATATTGGGCCCTGGAAAGACCAAGAAGAGTTAGTCTGTCCTCAGTGAGGGCAGCCTGCAGGGAGGCAGGCCTAGGGGAGACATATACTTCATGAACTACAGTCAGGCTGGACCCTGCCTGAAGGGCTCCAGGAAGGGGAGGAGGAGGAGCAAGAGGCCCTATTGGAGCCAGGACATGGGAGCTGGCCTCTCAAAGGAGGCTAAAATTTCACGAGAGGAAGAGTGCTGTGAAGGGCAGTGTAGGCGGAGGAGACTGCAGTGCAAAGGCCCAGAGAACAAGACTGAAAATTCTGTTCAGCCCCAGCAGGTGCTTCCAAGCAGGAGAAGGAGAAGAAGAGGAAGTACAAACAGCCAAGGGTGGGTCCTTCTCCTCTCTGAAGTTAACACCCTCCTCTCCTGGATTTCTGGTTGTGGCCCCCTCGAGGTGATCATAGTTAAGTCATCTCACCTCTCATCAACAGAATGCAGCTTCCTCATCAACACAATGCCAGCTGGGTTCACGGGGATCAGATGAGGCACAGTGTGTTAAGAGTTTGGAGCCTCACACACATTCAGCACACAAGAACATTTTTTATAGATGCACATTTATAGGTGCACATTTTTTATAGATGAACGAGCATTCTCCAACTCACCTTTATCCCTTATTCTCTTTGAAGGCTTTTGTTGGGCTTGATTCTTTCTTTCCTGAAGTTTCTTCCAAGATTCCCTCTACACACTTACACATAAGTTATCAGCTCCCCGAGGAAAGAGAGAAAGTTGACTCTTCCTGCTCTCTCCAGGATCTGACACTCATCAGATAGAATGGCCTCCTTAGCTTCTGGCGGCCAGATCAGAGTCACAGCCACTCCATGGGGCCAACCACGGTGCCACGAACAGTTGGAGCCCCAGCGAACATTACAGGAGTGGCCACATCTTCTGTCTTCTGGTGTTTGGGGTTTTGCCTCCCGTACATGGCAGGCAGCATCCCTTGAACCTGGGAACTTAGTTTATTTGTTATCTGATTGACGTGTCAACAAACAGTGGCAAAGGTTGCACTAGTGCCAAATGCAGTGAGCTCCAGGACAAGGAGCACCTAAGCTTCACAGAGGAGCAGCGTGAACTGGGCTTGGAGTCAAGAAAGGACAAAGGGGTTAAAGAAAGAGAATGCAGTTCAGGAGGAGAGCTTGGGGCCACTGGCAACAGTTGCAAGGCTGACCAACTGTTTCTCATAAGGCCGTGCCTGGTGGCAGGGACACAGCCTCTATTAACCTCCTCCAGAGGGTTCTTTGCAAATCCTCCTCTCACTGCCTCAGCCCTCTTGGCCTTACATCATTGGCCAGAGCTTTCTCCCTAAGGAGAACAGAGTGCTTCCAGAGTCCCAGAGTGAGTGGTGATAGAGCAGAGATTAGGATCTGACTGAGTTACAGTCCTAGCTTTTCTATTCTTAACTCTTAGGCTTTTATGGAGCTCTGGGGGTTGAGCTGCTTTTTAAAAGGCCAAAGGCATGGTGGGTACAACTTGCTCACCATTAGGAAAAAAAATTAAGTTAGAGATCTGAGTCATGGCTGACATTAGAATAAATTCCAGATGGCTGAAACCTTTGAATGTAAAATATAAAATCATAAAAATAGTAAAAGAAGAATAGATAGATGAATGTTTATTAATATCATTTTGGAGTGGAAGGGAGTAGAGAAGACCATTCTAAGTTCAACACCAAAGGCAGATAATAAAGAACAAATTGACACTGGTTTCAAAAAAAATCATGCACAAGAAGTCTGGCACAAAAGTACAAGTGTTAAGAAAGAACTTCAATTTCAAAATTTCAGTATTAATGGAACCTGGGCCATTCCTTGGGATTGTTAATTTGGAAACTGCATTTGAAGTATCTAATGAAATTTCCCCCTTCCTTATCCTCACACCTACACTGATCACCCAGCTGTGGGGGAGATTCACTTCAAACCAGGCTCTTTGGCCAGAGGTAAGGTCTTGTTCCAAACAGCTAAAGTCCAGAAAGGGAAGAGGATTGTCATACCCAAAAGACAAGACAGGTCCTCTTCTTCCTTAGCTACACCCACCTCATCTACCCCTAACCAATACACTCCACTCCTCCACAAAGTTACTAGATAGGGGCTCAGTAGTAAGAATGCACAATAAAGACATGGACAAATATCTAGAAAACTACACATGTGAATAAAGTCAGGATAATGAAACAGGACCATCACAATCCACTATCAGAAAAACTAACATCAGGAAACAGAATTAGGGGCTTCCCTGGTGGTCCAGTGACTAAGATTCTGAGCTCCTAGTGCAGGGGGTTCAGGTTTGATCCCTGGTCAGAGAATTAGATCCTTCATTCGGGAACTGGGAGTTTGCATGCCACAACTAAAGATCCTGCATGCTACAACAAAGATCAATGATCCTGAGTGATGCAACTAGGACCTGAAGCAGCCAAATAAATATTAAATAGGCAGAATTAACAAATACTAAAGAACAAGACTTCAGATTCACTGCAATTAATAGGTTCACAAGAAATGTGAAAGGATATTTCATATATTTTGAAAAAATCAACTGGAGATTTTGGAAATTTAAGAACTCAGTTTTTCAAATAAAAATTCAATGGACTAATCACAAAACAGATATTGCTGAAGGGTGAATAAAAAAGTTGAAAGATCAAATGGAGAAATTCTCCCAAAATGCAGTTCAAAAGAACAGAGATGGGCAATATAAAAGAAAAGTTAGATAGGAATTCCCCAGCAGTCCAGTGGTTAGAACTTGGCGCTTTTTTTGCCAGGGCCTGGTTTCAATCACTGGTCAGGGAACCAAGATCCCACAAGCCCCATGGTGCAGCTAATAATAATAAAAGTTAGAAGACAGAGGTCAGTTTGTTCCACTGCCAGTAGTTTGCCAACCTCTCTGCTTTATGGCTTTCAGTGTTCTCACTTGAAAGATGGAAACAATAATTATACCTACTTAGTAGGTTTCTGGGAATTAAATAGGGTTCTGTGTCAAGTACTTTGCTCACTGCCTTCACACAATAAGTAACCAATAAATGTTACTGTTGATAATAATGTGGTTGTTGATGTAGGTGCTGAGAATGAAGAAGGGGGTCATGTTTATTCATCACCTACTGTGCACACAGCAAGGCTGAGTCTTAAAGGGACTTGGAAGATTTCATTTAGTTATTTTTATTACTCAATGAAAAACACCTCATGTTGGCATAGAAAAAAAGTGGGGAATCCATGGAGGATGGATCCAGAAATTCTACCATCCTATTTTATAGGAATTTCAGAAAGGGAGAACAGAAGGAATGGAAGGGGAAAAATTTTAAAAAGAAAGCAATGACATATTGTTTCCTAGAAGTGAAGAAAGGAATAAGCTTTCACAGTGAAATGACCCACTGAGCACCAAGAATAACTTTTTTTAAAAAAAGACCTACACCTGGATTCATTCAACATTCAGAAAACTAAGATCATGGTATCTGGTCCCATCACTTTATGGCAAATAGATGGGGGAAAAGTCGAAACAGTGACAAATTTTATTTTCTTGCACTCCAAAGTCACTGTGGACGATGACTGCAGCCATGAAATTAAAAGACACTCCTTGGAAGGAAAGCTATGACAAACCTAGACAATGTATTAAAAAGCAGAGACATTACTTTGCAAGCAGAGTTTCATATAGTCAAAGCTATGGTTTTCCAGTAGTCGTGTATGGATGAGAGAGTTGGACCATAAGGAAGGTGGAGCGCTGAAAAACTGATGCTTTCTCACTGTGGTCTGGAGAAGACTCTTAAGAGTCCCTTGGACAGCAAGGAGATCAAACCAATCAATCCTAAAGGAAATCAACTGTGAATATTCATTGGAAAGACTGATGATGCTGAAGCTGAAGCTCCAATAATTTGACCAACTGATGCAAAGAGCCTAGTCATTGGAAAAGACCCTGATGCTGGGCAAAATTGAGGGCAGGAGAAGGGGGCGACAGAGAATGAGATGGCTGGATGGCATCACTCACTCAATGGATATGAGTTTGAGCAAGCTCCAGGAAACAGTGAAGGACAGGGGAGCCTCGCGTGCTGCAGTCCACTGTGTTGCAAAGAGTCAGACATGACTTAGCCACTGAACAACAACAACACCTGGATTAATTATGATGAAATTTCAAAATACCAAGCATAAAGGAAATGCCGAGCAATTTCATTCCATTTCCTTACATCTGTAAGTGCATATTTCTAGGAGGAGGACCCAGAGCAAGTATCCAGTTCTCAAAAGAGCAACCAAAAAGCAAGTTGAAGAACCACTTCCTCCAAGAAGGCCATGCCTTCAAAGGGGTGGGGTAGGGGGGTAGAAGGGGCTTGACCCCTAAGCAAGACCCCCTCTCAAAGGTTGTTCCACATCTGGATCTTTAATTTTAAAATACCACGTTGGCATATGGGAGAAACAAGAAAAAGAAAGGTTAGGAAGCCTGGAGGGTGGGTCCAAAATGTTTGCCATCCTTTTAATAGGAATTCCAGAATAAGAGAAAAGAAGTAGTCCCTTTCACTCCTTTTTCTTGCATATTTGGAGAAGGAAAATTTTAACCAAGCTCAAAACCAGCCTGCCCTTAACTCAGACAACATATTATTATACTTTCTTCTCTCTCAGAGGAACATCTGCAAAGACTTTCCTCCAGGAATGTGCCTGCTGTTTAAAAAGTCGCGATGACTCAAAATGCTAGTGGCATTTGCTACTCTGAAAATCTAGCTGAAGAAATGGGGCAGAGGGCGGGTCCTGAGAGCCCACTGCAGCCTTCCAGCTTTGGAAATGTGGAGATGTCCTGAGCAGGTACGAGCCCCATCTGGGTGGCTGGAGACTTGGGTGGGAGACTCAGCTCCACTACTTCCAACTGTGTGATCCAGGCAGATCACCTTTACTTTCTGAGCCTCTGTGTCCTGGTCATCGAAATGGGAACACATTTATTCTACCTCCCAGGGTAATTCTGATGCTAAGATGGTAAAACATGAAGGCGCACTGAGACAGCAAGCTCTAAACCAAGGGTCACATATGCAGATGCCTTCAAGGACCACTCAGGTAAGCAAATTTGTGAAGTGACCAGCTTAACATACTAGGGAATGATGGAGACCCTGACCTAACAAACACTCCTGGAAGCCAAATTTGGCCCTGAATCACCAGGTTGTGATCCTTGCTCCAAACAGAAATAAGGATACTTAGAACAAAGCAGCTCTCAAAACTGATGTAAAATAAAATTCTTTTTTCTTTTTTTTGCCCTATTGTGGGTTCATTTGTGTCATCTTCTCTCAATAAATTAATTAATTAATAGTAAGTGAAAGTCTCGGGACTTTTCCTGGTGGTCCAGTAGTTAAGAATCTGCCTTGCAGCGCAAAGGATGCAGGTTCAATCCCTGGTCAGGGAACTAAGATCCCACATGCCTCGGAGCAATTAAGCCCACACACCACAACTAGAGAGTCTGTGCACCACAGCGAAAAAGCCCATATGCTGAAACTAAGACCCGATGCAGCCAAATAAATAAGCAAATAATTTTTTTTTTAAGTAAGTGGAATTCCTAACCCCAAGAATGTGACCTTATTTGGAAATAGGGTCATTGCAGATGTAATTAGTTAAGATGAGTTCATACTGGAGTAAGATTGGCCACTAATCTGACTGGTGTTCTTAGAAGGAGGCAGTCATGTGAAGACAGAAAGACCCATGGAGAAGCCCACTTTAAGACACAGGCAGAGAGGGTAGCGATGCACCCACCTATGAGCCGAGGAGTGCCAGGATTGCAGGCCATCGGGGGAAACAAGGGAATAAATTCTCCCTCAGCACCTCAAAGGGAGCTAATCTCACCCTCACCTTGATTCCACACTTCTAGCCTCCAGAACTGTGAGAAAATAGATTTCTTCTGTTCTAAGTCACCTGGTTTGTGAGACGTTGTTATGGCAACCCGAGGAAATGAATACACTCCCCTGGACGGAACTTTTCTTTTACAAGAGGCCTAAATTTCTGATTTTCCTCATGAGTCAGTGAGTCTCCCAGCTTAAGTGCTCACAGGGTCAAGGCCTAGGGCGAAGTGCGTCCAGTGGCAGGCCCCCGCCTCAGGGTGCAGTCACCCTCCAGTTCCCGCAAGGGCTGGTCCCGACGGCAGGTGCCTGCTTAAGAGGCGGGCGCCTCTGGCTATGCCAGACTCTGTGGCAGTAGTCCTGCTGGAATGCTGGATTGAAAATCTTTGAGTGGTGCTGTGAAGCTGGCTTCCCAGGTGGCGTTAGTAGTAAAGAACCCGCCTGACGATACAAAAGATGTAAGAGACTCCGGTTTGATCCCCAGGTCACAGGTTAGATCCCTGGGTCCGGACAGTCCCCTGGAGGAGGGCATGGCAGCCCACTCCAGTATTCTTGCCTGGAGAATCCCGTGGCCAGCATGCCTGGCGGGCTACAGTCCCTGGGGTCACAGAGAGTCTGATGTGAATGCAGTGACTGAGCAAACCTGCCCTCCTCTGAGGCCTACATCCCCCTCCCACCCTTCACCCTTCCCTAGTAAGAAAGCATTTAATCCTGAATTCCTAAGCCACCTTAGGAAGTTTTATTTATTTTTTTCCCTGGGTATCTCCCATATATGTATGAGAGAGACAGGTTAACAAACTTCTGTCTGCTTTGCCCTTGTTAATCTGTTACGAGTCTCAGACAGGAATTCAGGAGGGTACAGAGAAATTATTTTCCCTCTTCTATAGTTTCTGGGGATAAGAAGGGACCACTGACCCACCTTCCTCAGGTGGAATCCTAGGAACATTGGCAGAAGGGTGACACTTCACCCCAAAGTCGGTGCTCCTGGACCTCTCTGTATGGCTCAGTCAAGAGAGAAAGGCAAAATTTTATGTGGGCCCTTCCTTTCCAATTTCAAATTAGCGGGAGAAAAACACTACGGAGTTCTTTGGGACTTCCCTGGTTGCCCAGTGGTTAAGACTCCTCTTTGCAACACAGAGGACTCAGGTTTGATCCCTAGCAGGGGAACTAGAGCCCGCATGCCACAACTGAAGATCCTGTGTTCCTCAACTAAGATCCAGCAACCCCCCCAAAAGAATTAGCTCTCTGAATTGTGACTCTTATGAATTTTGTTTCTGGAGTACAATTTGATCAGAAAGATCCCCTGGAGAAGGGCATGGCAACCCACTCCAGTACTTTCTTGCCTGGAGAATTCCATGGACAGAGGAGCCTGGCAGGCTGCAGTCCATGGGGTTGCAAAGAGTCGGACATGACTGAATAACTAACACAACACTTTGGTTACCTATCCTTTCCCTCCCGGAAACAGCTATTCCTTTTTTATTTGTCTCATGTTGTGTCCTGAGACCTCAGCCTGAAGGCAGGCTATTGGTTCTTGTGTGTACAGGTGGCTCAACTATCAGGTTGGGGGGCCCCAAGAATGTAGCCAAACAGGAATGTGGGCCGCACCCCATTTGCAGCTCTCCTCCTCCTGGCTGTTGCCAGCTTGCAGGGGAGTTAAGCCTTTTTATCTTTCCGCGATCTTTGTATTTCTGGGTCTTAGGAGAGTTGCACCTTTTGCACCCTTTTTCGGGACAGCTCTTGTGTCCATAGTTAAGTCATGAAAGGTCTGGTTTCGAGTCACTTGGTAATTACATGTTGGTTTGAAAGAAAAGGCAAAGAGATAATTTTTAAAAAGCAGCTCAATATTGCCAGAAATATTTACTGTTTGTACTTGCTGAAATTTGATAAAATAAGATATTGAAAGGATTTTTAAAAAAAGAACACT